ACGTTCATAAATACCTTCACCAATATTATTTACAATTACCCATTACCTTTAGTTAGTGAGTATAATTTTTAATCGATGAAATTAAAAACAGCAAATCATGTTCATAAAATGCTTACTCATAAATACTTATTTACCATCATCATACATTTCAAATTATTATTCTATTTAATCGGTGAGTATAATTTTAAAAAACACAATAAACTTTTTGAAGATAATAAAAAATATATAATAATTATAAAGGAAATCTAAATACGGCAAATGTACACACTGTAATAACTATAATACGTCTAAAGCATGGTGTCTGACATGTGATCCTGACATATCTGTTCGAGGATGGACAAGTAGAAATGAAGATATTGATGATTGATCAAAGAATTTCAATTTAGAACTTTTGAATATGAGAATTTAATTGATTGGATTCCATATAATAGATTAACTAATGTTAAGGAAATTGGTAAAGGAGATTCAGCTCTGTATATTCTGCAACCTGGTTGGATGGCATACGAAGAGTTGATGGTAATAATTATAATTATGTAAAAGCACGTAAACCATTCAGCATCGTTGCACCAAGACATTGGCCAGTTCCAAGGAAAACAATTTTGATTTTTTAAAGGAAGTAAGTTAATTTGGGCTAGGTGCTGGAAAAAGGACCGAAAATGACAATTTTTTCAAAATAGATTTTTTCACATAAATTAATTTAGAATAAGGCTAGGATCTTTTTTTACTTAAGACACAAAGGTAGTTGTGTTAATAAAATTTTGCAGTATAGTTCTTTAAAGTTTGTGTTTTCTTATAATCAATTATAAGATTTACAACACAAAAATTGATTTTCTGAAGATCTTTTATTTTGTCATTTTCGGTCCTTTTTCTAGCACTCAGCCCATTTATTTCTTTTATAATTTATATCATAGTTTATTGAATTAATTTATTGTTTAAGTTTAAAAGTCTTATGAAATGTAAATTAAATCTTAGTAAGCTCGCAATATATGGAATAACTCAAAATACAAAAACAAATGAATACTTGATGGTATTTCGGTATGCAAATAATGGAAGCCTTTACAAATATTTAATAGAGAAATTTAGTAAACTTACATGGCAGACTAAATTACAAATACTTAAAGAAATTTCAAAGGAGTTAAAGAGTATTCACAACTATGCAGGATATATTCATGCTGATTTTCATAATGGTAACATTTTGCTAGACAAAAGCATTAATGAAATTGCAAATTCTCATATCTCAGATCTAGGATTGTCTAGAAAGAATGATGAATGTATTTCAAAAAGCGAAATTTATGGAGTCATGCCCTATGTAGCTCCTGAAGTTTTATTAGGCAAACAGCAGTTTACACAAGCAGCAGATATTTATGGATTTGGTATTATTATGACAGAAATGTCAACCGGACAAAGGCCTTTTGATGGACATAAATTCGATACCGATCTTGCAATCAAGATTTGCAAAGGATTACGACCACAGTTTACTCCTGAAATTCCCAATTGTTATGTCGAATTGGCAAAGAGATGTATGGGCTCAGATCTACAAGGACGACCTAGTGCTAGAGAAATTTATAATGAAATTGATTATTGGTTTTGCGAGTTAGCTTCGGATGGTGAAAATGAAATCAAAAAACAGTTTTTAAATGCTAATAAAATTATTGAAAAATTGCCAATAATTCCTCAAAATCATCCTGATCATATGTACACTAGCAAAATTATTAACACACAAAAAATATCAAATGCGTTTAAAGGTATAATTCAAAAAATTATTTAAAAATAAATGTTATGTCGTAAATAATTAAAACTATTTATAATTTTTCAATAGAAATTTCTTTTATAAGTAAACCTATCGAGTCTTTTAATATTCCCTTCTGGTAAGTAGTGTTACAATTCTCCAAGATGTTGCCAATCGATTAGTTGAGGATTATTTTTTTAGTTGACAAACTAGTTGCAACTAATCGATTAATCGATTAATTGTTAAGTTGCAATTAATCAATTAATCGATTTTTCGATTAATTGTAAGTTATAACTAATCGATTAGTTGCAACTAATCGATTAGTCGATTAATTGATTAATCGATTAGTTGGTATCTAAAAAGTTCAATCGATTAGTTGTCAACTAACCAAATAATCGATTTTTTCAACTTTCAATTTTAACGCTATTACAATGTTAAACATATTTATAAATATACAAATTTATACTTATTTTGTTTAATATTTAGATTATTGACCAATTACTTTAAAGGCATAAATTGCAATTGAAATGTTATTTAGAGTATAATATTAATTATTTTTATATGAGATTTATACGAAAAAATTTTTATAGCAATAAAAATATTATTAATAAAGTTTTACGAGAACACAACCAATTTTGAATAAAATTTTTGGCATAGATTAAAATCTTCTGTCTGTAGTAGTAAAACTTTAAACTTAAATATCATTTTTTAGAAAAAATTACTTATATATAGAATGAAATTTGTTTAAAATTTCTTAGTATAAATCTTCTTTTTTTTTTTTACTTTATTAGCATCTTAGAAAATATTATTATTTTCTTCGAATTATTTTTATCAAACACGGATTGTATTTATGAAAATTTAAGGCTTGGTATTTGGATTTGATTTTTCATTTCTACTTGCAGCTTATTAAAGACATTTATTAATGTTTAACATTCGAAAAAAAAATATGTATCAATGCATAATTACAATTTATTTTATGGATTTCTGTTTGCTTTTTTTTTTTTCTAATGATGATGCATTACGTGATTATTATTATGATATTGTCACAACCGAAAATGAAATATAGTACGTTATGAAACACAATTAGAGGTTGAACGTTTCAATCAAAAACTGTGAAGCACGACAGAACCTGTTAACTAGAATTTAACAATTTAAAAGCAAGATATGTAACTATTTTTTTCATATAAAATTTTTTATGTCTGTATAATAAAAAGTAATCAACTAGTTGCTGAATTGACCTTTAAACAATAATCAAGATTCGCTTATATTGTTATTTATTAAACTCATTTGCTTATTTTATATTTTAACGAGATCAGAAAATTAATACAGTAAAATCACCAAAATGGCCCTCTCTAAATGCACAACCTCTAAAATGCACATTCAAATTATAGCCAAAATATATACTTGACCTTTATAAATGCACTTTTCTTATTGTTCTCTAAATTTGCTTATTGAATATTTTGTCTCTATAGTGTGCACCTAGGGAGGTTTTCTGTACTTACATTCTTTAAACGATTTTCGTTACCAAAATTTAAAACCTGTTTTCATATGGCATACATATCACAAGCCTGTTCGACAATCAATCATACTAGGACAAGTGTAATGTAGATAACACGAATTTGTATGGCTTTATAGTGAACCTCATTGTGTCAATATTTGTTAAGCATCACATACAGTATATATTATAATTGTTATGCGGGATTATCAATTGGCTTAGAAAATCTTCGATCAGGAAAATACCAAGCATAGGTGATACGAGGCGTATAGTGATGAAGAATGAAAATAATGTGTGCAAATACGTACACCTGATTGATGGCCAGCGCTTCTGTGCTTGTGTATTGTGATCGTGTTAAAATAAATAAATAAATAAACACACGCATGCATAGGCATAATATTAGGAAATGATACGTAATAAACATGCAAATTTTAAACATTTATTCAAAGTGACCCACTTGAATTTTTTTGGATTTTTCAACTTTTTAATAAGCATGCATCTTTATCGTTATCTATGATGATGGTTATAAAGAACACGTTGTAATAAAGACAGTCATTTGGAGTATGGTGTCTGGAATGATATAACAGTTCAAGGATGGACACGTAGAATATCGATTTAGAACTTTTGAATGAGAATGTAGTTGATTGAATTCCATTAAATGAAATGTTAAAGAAATTGATAAAGAATGATTTGGCTCTGTATATTCAGTAACATGGTTGAATGGCATACGAAAACTTATTATAATTATGTAAGAGCGCGTGAACCATCCAGTTGCGCTTAAGATGTTGACCAGTTCTAAAGAAACAATATTTAAATTTTAAAAGAAATTAGTTTGTTGATTTTATCATTTATTTAATAGTTTATTGAATTATTTAAGCTTTAACACTGCTTGAATGTGTGCCAGGTTTATGGCGCAGCAAAAATTCTTTAAAGTTAGGTTTAGAGGTTAGTGAGAGATTTTATATCCCTTTTTGTTAGAGCACTTTTGACAAAATGAACGTTTGTTTTGGATTTTCTTGATCATGTTAGGTTACACCTGATCTTGAAATCTGATTCGTAGTTAAGGAAATCTGCGCCACAAACCTGGCACACGTTCAAGGGGTGCTAAACTTTAAGTCTTATGAAATGTAAATTAATTATAGTGGTCAATAGAAAATGGGACAAATCATTTTTAGTAACTTTCTTAAAATTTTAAACTAAAATATCTTAACAACTACCAAATCAAATTTGATAAAAATTTTTTTGGTTTAATTGTCCTATTTCTAGACTTCTCATATACGGAATAACACAATATGCAGAAACAAATAAATACTTAATGGTATTTTAGTATGCAAATAATGAGAGTCCTTAAGGGACAATTTTAGTAAATTTACACGGCAGACTAAATTACAAATTACTTAAAGTAGTAAACTATGGAATTTATAAATTTGTATTATTAATTTCCTGGGAGCTTAAAAATTACAACAGAGATTCTCGATGAACATAGGATAAAGATGGCCCTTCGGGCCATCTGTATCATATGATCATCGGAATCTCTGTTGTGATTTTTAACTCCTCACAGGAAATTCATGAATAATACCCTGCCATACGTTGTTCATGCCTACCTTTATTATAATTTTTCGTGTGATTATTTGTGACCTGGAATCTTCCCATGGAAGATTCCCGGTCATGATATGATCTCGTGGGAAATTATAATGAAGGTAGGCATGAACAACAAAATAGTAAGGCAGGGTATTATATCATTTATTGCACGAAAATTTTGAATGGAGATACACAATGGCATCAGGTATTGAAATAGTTATTAACATGAATTTTGAGTACGTAATTTCAATCAGAAAAATCAATAGAAATTTATAAAATAAATGGTAAAAATAATTATTCTAGGTACCACCCGGTGGTAAAAGATCAGCAAAAATAGAACGCAGTTGTTACACAACCATCTATTTACTGAAATTAAATAAAACGTGTTAAGGCTAAGAATAAAGTAATTTATAAAGATAAAACCTCATAAAAAGTATATTTAATCAAGTCGTATCATCAGTGCACAAATCTATTACAAAATATTGGAATTTCTGGCGTAATTTTAAGCACGACTTTACGTACTGGGCTTCATAGTTAAAATTTTGGGTTATCATTTGAATATTACACCACAAACTTCGAAGGTCCATATATTTACGTAGCATTACATAAATGACAATAATATTATGTAATTGTTTGATATAAATTTATGTAAGCGTAAAGTTACTTAACAATTTATATAAATTTATGCTTCTTTTTGTCTAGTATTACTGAAGGTCCATAGAATTCATAAAATATTTGTAAGATATTATGTTTTAATCATATAAGATTATGTAGATTCATTTAGTATTTTACCTAGTGGTCTTATAAAAAAAAAAGTTCGTGATGTACGCCTGATTCTGGCAAAAATTGTCGATACAATTTCTTGTGTTACAAATTTACTCTGTCGTATTGGTATATTTATTATTATTATAGTAAAAACTGGTTAATAAATAGATCCGAAGAAGCTGATTAGCATCCCTGCTAGTACTGTTTAAATAAAAGGAAGTGAAGCACAAATAATAGGAGTTTGAGAATTCACTAGTAGATCTCTTATTTGAGAAGTTTAACATAACAATTAACGGTATCTGAAGTCAGAATTAGGTTGGATTTATGCATAATTAAATAGATGTTTACAGTATATATTAATTAAACGAAATCGGTAAAAATAAACCCAATTTAATCAATCTTTTCCTTATATTGTTAAAACTCCTTTGATTATAACGATAAATTCTGCGTGTTTGCAAATCTTTCAGCATAAATCTACTCAGAAAAATTTAGGTTGCAACGTTATTAATAATTGGTTTATACACGCAAATTTTTTACAAGTATTATCATAAACCTTGGGAAAACGGAAATTACCGATGACCAAATTAAGTTTCTGGTGTTGACCGAAGCCGATAACTTATTGTTACCGACTCGGTAACTTATTGTAAAACACATGCGTAAATCGATATTCTTATATAGGCGTACATCATGGATTACACCCTTAGGGGAATTGGTTTTAAATGGGCTAATTCCCCCTCTAATATATAAATTTCAGATACTGTATTCTTTAAATAAAAAAAATTTTTGACTCCCATCTCCTAAAAAGCTACGTATTAAATATGTTAACATCCCAAAGTAACTTGAATAGAGGCGCGATCTAGAACCATTAATCTTTTATGAGCTATTAAACGTTATGAAACATTTCTGTCATGAATAAAATTCATGAGTAAATACTTATGGTCACGGTAAGAGGAGTGCTGTTTATTATTATTACGTAATTTAAAAGGGGTTAGTAGCCTACGTATCACTATTTGTATACAATATAAATCTCATGATTGATCATCTACGTAGGAGGGAGGAGTCCGGCCTGCTTATAAAAAGAAATTATGTAATAAACGGCACTCCCTAATACGTGATGGTGTTTGCTAAATAAAGCAGATCATATGTCAAATGACTTTTTTATGGAAATCTGTTCAACTATCAAGGTCACAATGACGTTGTTCATATTTCAATTATCGATATAAATATCCTTTTTTTCTTTCTCACAAGTCTCTCTTAGTCTTAAAAACCTTTAACAAATCGTAACCACATACAAAAAAAAAAATCTCTCAGTCTAAACCTCTAACAGAAGCTCATACAAAAAAAAAAGGAAAAAAAAAAAAGAAAAATGTTTTCTATTGTCTTATGCTTTATTGTCCTTTTTCTTTTATCAAAACTTTTTGAAAAGGCACTTGGTAAATAGGTTTTCCTCTTTAACCTTTTTTTTTTGATTTATTCGAACTTACGTCAACTTTTTTGGTATAGTTTTGGATATAGATTTAGGAGAAAACAAAGATCATGGAACTGGAAACGGTAAGCTAATGATTTTTTTTTAAATATTGAGTTTTCGCCTTGAGCGTATAACATTAATGATTAATTTTATTAAAGGTATGTTCAAGATGGAAGACGTCCCTGAAGAAACGTTAGATATACTTATTTCCTTTGTTCAAGAGAACAACAAAAAATTAGAATGGTTAGCACGTAATAAGATATATGCAGAAGCTGGAGAAGTGGCTGCCTTAGTTGAAGAGTTGGCCGAACTCATAGATGAGCAACAAGAGAAAATCGCTAGATGTCTATTTCACCAACAACTATATGAAAACAGTATATTAATTGAAGAATTTATGACAATAAAAAAAGCCTCAAGGTTTAAGCTCTGATTGCTCGTTCAAGGCTTCTTTGATTGCAATAGAAGAGTTGATACAGCTGGTTTGGCTGGCTGGATAAATGGATCTTTTATTAAGCATCGCTTTTACGGGTCCATTATTTATTAATATGAAGTTGTGCCACATCCATCTTGTTAACTTGATTTACTATTTGGATATATAGTACAGACTTAATGACTTATGAGTATCTAAATCAATTAGAAAATCAAATTCGGTCTAGTAGTGGCGTGCTCTATACCAACTTACATGATGATCTTGGAAAGTTTTGAGAAAAAGCTTAGTGATTCTTATCTCGTATCGCCTCTCCTCTTTATCGCAGAACGAAAGTGAATGCTCATTATTATTGAACCACCAAATTTAAGGTCTACATTGTACTAATACAATTTGATCTTCTTTTGGTAAATTTTTTTTTTTCGGTTTACGTTTTAATTATGCATTATAGACATTAATCTTATTTCATTATTGTTTTAGAAAATTACAGTAGTTCAAACAGTACATAAAAAGATGAAGCGCTTTGAATAACTTGGTGTTACTTTTTTATCTAATTTGTTTGGAAATTTGTTGTTTCAGTTGGTTTTTGAAGAGAAATTCTTTGTTACTCAGTTTTGAGGAAAATTTTGCATTTTTTGGCTATTCGAAAATTTCTTTTTTTGATCTCAATAGTACTATGTAATTTGTGGCATGAGTGATTCATTTTCTTTTATATATATTTTCTGGATTTTTTCTTTTTATATTTATTTTTTTATTTCTAATAATTTGAAATGTGTAAAAAAATGTAAAGAAAAATAAAAATTCAGTCAAAAGCTATCTGATTATATTCTGGCTCTATTACCGTTGAGATTTGTTATATTAAAAATTTAAAATATAAATTTTTGCGCGTCCATGACGTTTGACTGTTATTTTAAATAATATACCTTATATTGCATCTGTATATTACGTTTTTCTTACCAATCTAAACTTAGCCATGATAGAGTTTTCTCGGTTATTTTGCCAATATCAAAATTTTTTACATAGCGAATTTTAAATACTAGTCCACAAATTCAAAGCTGATTTAAGTATTTGTTTTATTCGCGTTAATTTATCGTGTAAGTTATAGATAAAATTTATTGAGCTAAGTATTTAAAATAAATGATATTTAATTTTATTAGAGCATATGTGTATTAAGTATTTAAAATAGGTTATTCGACTTCAACTATTCGCAATCTCAAGTTTGTAAGTATAAAGAACAAAAGAACAATTATTGAGTATTAAAATAAGTCATTAAATTTATCGCTGTTTTATGTTATTCGAGATGGTAATACGTAGAACATTTATTAATCAAAAGATTTACATTTCGTGAATCTTTACTATTTATTCTCGATGAGCATAAAAATTATTTACATTTAAATACAAGTACCACATAAAGTGAAAATGACCAATATAGGAATCTATTATATAAATTATAATTTTTTTTTTAAAAAAAATATATATTTTGCAAAAATTAGTATTATTAATTTCCTGGGAGCTTAAAAATTACAACAGAGATTCTCGATGAACATATGGCCCTTCGGGCCATCTGTATCATATGATCATCGGAATCTCTGTTGTAATTTTTAACTCCTCACAGGAAATTCATGAATAATACCCTGCCTTACGTTGTTCATGCCTACCTTTATTATAATTTTTCGTGTGATTATTTGTGACCGGGAATCTTCTCATGGAAGATTCCCGGTCATGATATGATCTCGTGGGAAATTATAATGAAGGTAGACATGAACAACAAATAGTAAGGCAGGGTATTATAAATTATATTACTATCAAATATAAATTGTTATGATCTTTACTACTGCTATATATTATCAGAATAGTTAATAATAACATAATTAATATAGTAAATTATTATGCAAATTATAATGAATTTAATTTAAAGCTAATTTAACTCTATATAAAGAACTGCGATATTTAAAAATTACAATAAGCAAATAAATTTTTTTTACATAAATCAACAAACGCTAATATTATAAAAAAAACTTACTTTTATATAATTCTAAATATCAAATACAGTATGCAGTACAAAACTGCCTATCTAATAATATAATAATAAATAAATTTAATATATAAACAAATATAAAATTTTCTTTGATTTAAAAGTTTTATTTAATTATTAACTATTATGATATATTTGTTTAATATTTACTGCTCTAATACAGTAATATAATTAATTTAATTTATATAGAATTAATTAGACAAGTTTTTGACCATCATAAAATTTCAATATATAAATTAACTCACCGTTACCGTAATGTTTACTGTTACCGTATTTTCTACCATTACCATATTGTCTACCGTTATTGTTATTGTATTGTTACTACTGTTACCTTGGTTACCACTGTTACTGTAATTACTGTATAATTTGAGAAAGTCTTATTTAATTATACTTATATCATCATAAATTTCAATTATAAATTTGTTTAATACTTACGGCTAATATAACCAATTTATATAATTAATCAATTAAGTTTTTAACTACAGTATTAATATATAATTTTATATTCACATTTACTGGTCCATTTCCTGGTACTGGTTAATGATTCGAGAAAGATTCATTTAATTATGTATTATTATATATTTCATTTATAAATTTATTTTATAAAGCTTCAATCTAAAATTGTTTTCATTTAGTGAGTCATTTAATACTCACCCGCTAAAATAAATCAATTTATATTTTACAAACTTTTAATTATAATAAAATGAAGAAGTTACAAACTTTTAATCTATAATTTGATTTTATACTCACCATTAACTAATAATTATATAGAAAAGATTCATTTAGTTACTATTTAAAAATTGTTATAAATTTTAATTAAAAATTGATTTATACGCACCAGCTGATAATTTAATTCGTATATAATTAATTAGAAAGGTTTCATTTAATACAGATTATTGTAAATTTCAATTTATTAAATAAACTTTATATCGCCAGCTAATAATTTATTTTGTATGAGTCATTATATAAAATTTCACTTTAAAATTGATTTTATACTCACGACTAATAATTTAATTCAAATATAATTAATTAATTAGAAAGGTTTCATTTAATTGCAGGTTATTTTAAAATTTCAACTTAATAAATCAACTTTATACTCACGTGCTGATATAATTCATATATAATAAAATCAGACAAGTTAAAAAAAATTTTTTACGCGATAATTTGATTTTATACTTACTATCAACTAATAATTTAGTATATATAGAAAAGATTCATTTAGTTACTATATAAATTGGTGTGAAGATTTAATTTAAAATTGATATATACTCATACGCTAATAATTCAATTCATATATAATTAGTTGGAAAGGTTTCATTTAATTATGGTTATTGTTTATACTCACGGTCACCACCATCTAGTAATTAATTTATATGTTACTATATAATTGTTATAAAATTTGAATTTATGGTAAAATTGATTTTATAATCACTGACTAATAATTTAATTCATAAATAATTAATTAAAAAGTTTCTTTTAATTATAGATTATTTTCAAATTTCTAATTTATTAAATCAATTTATACTCACCTTCTAATAAATAATTCATATATAATAATATTAGACAAGTTAAAAATTTTAACCTATAATTGATTTTATACTCACGATCCTCTAATAATTTAATTTATGTAGGAAAGTTTCATTTTGTTACTATATAAATTGTTGTTAAATTTTAATTTAAAATCGATTTATACTCACTCGCTAATAATTTAATTCATATATAATTAATTGAAAAGGTTTCATTTAATTACAGTTTATTGTAAACTTCAATTCACCATATCAACTTTATACTCACGGTCACCACCAGCTAATAATTTAACAGATAAGAAACTTTCATTTAGTTACTATATAAATTGTTATAAACTTTTAATTTAAATTCATTTTTCTATATACTCACTGACTAGTAATTTAATTCATATATATAGTATTTTATTGTCAATAAACAATGAAATATATTTCTCGAATAATTATTCTTTCTCTTATCTGTTATCTATTATTCACTTTTTTGTTATGCTACATGCATGTTAAATCAACAGCATGTATGTGTAGAATTTTATTTATAAAAAAAAATTAATATTAATAAACAAATGAATTATATTTTTCTAATAATTATTCCTTTTCTTATCTGCTATTTGTTATTTACTTTTTTGTTATGCTACATGCTTAATAGATGGTAATTATAGAATTTATTTATAAAAAAAGATCAATATATTTTATTGTCAATGAACAAATAAATTATATTTCTCTAATAATTATTCTTTCTCTTATCTGTTATCTATTATTCATTTTTTTGTTAGGTTATATATGTGTTAAATCAACAGAAAGTAAGTGTAAAATTTTATGTTTCTCTAATAATTATTCTTTTTCTTATTTTTTTTTTTCTTTACTAACCTTGTACTAATTTATTAGAAATTTGTAACTTGATTACAGGTTTACTAATTTATATATTAGGCTAATATCTGGCTGCTCTAATAATACCCAAGTATAGTTATCACACTGATATTTGTCAATAGGTTCTATATATAGTGTTATATTTAAAAACTCACTTAGCTACTATATCAGAACTATTTTCTTTTCTACTTCTTCCTTCTTCTCAAGAAGCACAAGACAAAAGTAAGAAAAATAAAAACAACAAATTTATAAAATTACCAAAAAAAAAAAGAATAAACTAAAAAAAAATAAATCACAAATTTTGAAAAGATAAAACAACAAAAGAAAAAAAACCTAATAGTATTATTATAAACTATACAAGATTTAAAAATATGTGGAGTTGTCACACCCCCAAATGGCAGGTCTAGAGTTTGAATCTCATGGACGATGATTTTGAAAAAACTAGATCTGTATTGGTTAATGTTAAGATTATCGGTTGGATCCAGATATCTGTAATCTTGGTCACACCATTTCAAATAGGAGCATTGGCACAATAAAATCCAGGAAACCGGAATTACTAAAAACCCGTTTGGCAAGTCCCGAGTTGGGAGTAGCAGTAATCTTTGACGGTGCTACAGAAAGACTTAATTTGGAACCAGAAACTGAGACCAGAGAACTGAGCGACCAGGTCCTTAAGTGGGGGACACACCAGCCAAACTGCTGGCTCGCCACCAGAGGAAAAGGACTTGTGCTCTGGAAGCATGTACTAAGAGAGGGAGACCGTAAAGCACCTAGAGCCTGGGCAGACCAACCCTTCTGGATTGCCGACTGGAAGTAAGGGAGAGACCAATAAGGAATCTGGAAAAGAAGGAAG